TTTCAATGATATTTGCTTCAAAGACGTCTCTTCCACCTCAGAATGCATTCTAAGTCATCTACAAGCATTTAGGACCGGTTCGAAGAACAGTCAAAATTTCGTCAAAATTGATTAAAAATGCAAGGCTAACCCCTTGCAAAATTTATGAATTTCGGGCAAAAATTTAGCTTTTTCAGTTTCAATGATATTTGCTTCAAAGACGTCTCTTCCACCTCAGAATGCATTCTAAGTCATCTACAAGCATTTAGGACCGGTTCAAAGAAAAGTCAAAATTTCGTCAAAATTCATTGAAAACGCAAGGCTAACCCCTTGCGAAATTTGTGAAATTTGGGAGACAAATTACATTTCTGAGTTTCCATGAAACTTGCTTTAAAGACGTCTCTCTTTAAGCTGAGAATGCATTCTAAGTCATCTGCAAGCATTTTGGAGTAGCTTAAAGAAAAGTCAAAATTTTGTCAAAATTCATTGAAAACGCAAGGCTAACCCCTTACCAAATTAAGGAATTACGGGCAAAAATTGAGATTTCTGAGTTTCAGTGATACTTGCTTAAAGTCGACTTTTCATATTCAGAATGCATTCTACGTCATCCATAAGCATTTTTGGGAGGTTCGAAAAAATTTGGGGTTGAAGGTGCTTGTGGAGTCCTGAAATCGTTTTAAACGAGCAGAAAAGACGTCTTTTTTTCGTCTGAAGAGGATACTCTGGGACATTTACAAACAGTTTGGAGCGGTTTGAAGAAAATTCGGTTGAAATTAATTTCAAATGTGGACTGCAAATGCGGAGGGGTGGAATCGCTTGCACTGCGTGCCACTGTTGTCTCCTAACTTCTTTCCCTTGCTTCAACTGTCTTGGTCACTTCTGCCATTGTCTTCCCCGAGTCTTGAAACGATGGATGTTCCAAAGTACACACACAGCTTCATTGGAGGACGTTCCTGTGTCAAAAAACAAACACAAAACAAAAGGTTAATTGTGGGAAAAGGGGGATGAAGAAATGACATGTACCTACGCCACAGGTAAAGGGAAGTTAAATATGTGCACGCAAGAAGTTACTGAAGAGAGGGAATCCAGCTATCTAATCATTAAACCTTACTCCCTTCGGTAAATTTTGTTGGATTTATTTCGGATCTTTAAATGTACTTCCACTCACATGATAAATGATGTATTATTTCAAAGTTTGTATAGGACTGTATACTGACAAAAAGCTTATCTGGTCATAATGCCCAATCGGCTATACAGTGCTCCTTCCCGACGGAAATTGTCCCAGGGAAGCAGGGAAGCAAAGGAACAGTTTCGGCTTAGAAAGGCAACTCGCCCTCATTTTTTAAATTCTTCCATGAAGTTGTGCGGCTACAGGTTTCGCTCTTATCACGTGATTGGGAAAATTCCTGCAGCTTTCACCAAAAGCAGTTCGGACACTAAATATCAATCGAAGGACACTGATAATAAAATTTGAGTTTACGTTAATTCAAAATGACGCATCAGTAATGATACCTTCTCTAAGAACTGGCAGTGTCGAAGCAGAAATTTGTGGCGACACTTGTGAGTAATGAGAGAAAATTACACTGCGCTATCGAACTCATGAAACACAACACTGAAAAAAAATGTCGGGGTCTTGCTGCGTCATAACCCATCCGCGATTGATGACGAATAGCTGGGATGCATTGAGCCCCAGGAAGGGGCCCTATTTCCTTACTTGGCTCGACCAAGCCCCTAGACCTTGCTGACCGTGTCATGATGCTACATAGCCCCACTGTACCACAAACAGTGGCCACAGTGTGCAGTCAACACAGAGCTGATGTGTGCGCCAACGTGCGCATCGTATGTTTTAGTTACCAGCTTGGGTTGATGTCCCGTGACGCATTTCAAAGGTTTGTGCGAGAAATTTGCCACCAAGAGAGTGGAAGACCGTCTTTCGAGTTGCTTCTCGATAAGGAAGAATTCCTGTATATACTGTTTTCATCAACGAACAGAAAGTTATAACAAGTCAGGGGATGCTAGCAACGATTTACTGACTTTGTACAGGGATCATCTTTGCGGTGATAAGTTGAACGGTTCAATTTGGAAGACTTGGATTTCCTAGCGATTTAACTGCATATTAGCTGACTGCCTGGATATCAGCTAATAGATTGTTGCCGAAAACTTTGGAATGTTTCTATTTTCAGTTACTTGTGGATTATTGAGTTCTTCGATTTGTTGATGCCATTCTAAGAACTACGTTTTACTGGATTAATATAAGTAGCAAACGGAAACGAGAGGATTCTGTGGGACGTTATTTTTTATACGTTCAAATCTTGCTGTATATTTACGGACATTTCGTGACAATCGATCATTACTGTCCGCGGCGTACGCCGAGTTGAAAAAGTAACCCCGTCTGGTGCAAGTGTCTCTTGTTATAAAAAAACAACATTGAATATTCCTGACAATCATCGACCAAAATCAGACCTGAACTACAGACAAGGGAATTACACATCTGTGACACTGGGCATCAGCTGTCATCAGACCGAAGCCGATCTACCTCTTTCACAATTCAAACCACTCCCGTAGGACTGTGACGTTTGCCACAAGCTTCTCAAATCTAGCCGCAGATACCACGCAAACGACAACGGCAACACCCATCGAAACAGACTCGAAGCTGAATGCTTCTATGGACAAAGTAAGTGCATGATTAGGTAATTTCTCTCATCAAACTTTCAAAGAACGCTTCCAACATCATCTAAAATGATGAAGCAATTGGCATACGGATTTGTGTTACCGTTGATGTTTCTGGCACGTGCTCACGCCATTTCGTTCCGGGTGGAGCCAAGTCCACAGACCATAGTTCTGGGTCAAACCATGACACTGCGATGTCAAGTGGACAATCAGGATGGCATCAACGTGTATTGGCAGAACGTGAAAACAGGTGATTATCTGAGTAGAGACCGTAAAATTGACCCTTTCAATCGGCTCAGCAAGTCCGCGAAACGCAGGTACCGGATCATTGGTGATTCGGGATCGGGCGAGTATAACCTGATGATTCGGCGCGTCTCCATGAACGATGCATCTGAGTTCAGATGCCTTTACTTCACCGACATGGCCTACTACTCACCGATAGCCCATATCAGAGTATTGAAACCGCCAGATAAAGGATTTCCCTCTTGTATCCTGGGTCCGAGTTTGCAGATGGATGCTGGAGACAATATCACCCTCATATGTGAGTCCATGGGAGGAGATCCACCTGCAACGCTGACGTGGATTCGAGGAAAAGAAATCCTTCAGTCAAACTTTGTACCACACGCCAGTCGTAGAGTCGCTGCTTATCAACACACTCTCACGGAAGCCGACCGGAACGTCAGATTCACCTGCGTGGCACGGAACCAAGCTTTGGCCCAACCCCGGTCTTGCTATGTGATTCCTCTACGGAGCCGTATCGAAGTCATCCTCCGCCCGGTTGTTACAACAATCTACCTTGGCGACAGCATCAGTTTCAATTGTATCTCAGAGAACGTTCCTCAGCTGCAATATCACTGGACTGTGAATGGTAATCCAATTACAGAATCAACGGAAAAGTACAAACTTCTCAAGAGTGGCATGAGATTGCGGGTGGTAAATGCCACTTTGGAAGACGATGCTTCTGTCATTGTCTGTCGTGTTGAACAGGCAGAGCTTAGATTGGGAGATCACGCCGAGGGACAACTCTACATACGGCAACTGAAAGATAACGAGTTTACCAGCGCGATACTGACCACTGCACCGGTGACGACAACTCCGATGATGACCACGCCAGAGGTAAAATTGACAACTAAACCAACTACCACGCCACTTACTACTACGACTTTGATCACCACGACTGAACAGGGTACAACCACTCCCATGGCCACTACTAAGCCTACTACCACTACTTTACCGGTCACAACGCAACAGATAACTACAACGCAACAGATAATTACAACCCAACCGATAACCACAACCCAACCAGTTACCACAACCCAACAGGTTATTACAACCCAACCAGTTACCACAACCCAACAGGTTATTACAACCCAACCAGTTTCCACAACCCAACCAGTTACCACAACCCAACAGGTTATTACAACCCAACCAGTTACCACAGCCCAACCGATAACCACAACCCAACCAGTTACCACAACCCAACCGATAACCACAACCCAACCAGTTACCACAACCCAACCGGTAACCATAACTGAACCAGCTACAACGACCAAACTTGTTACCACTACCGAAGAAGTAACTACCACCAAGCCAGCAACAACAGAATCGCAAACGACCACAGAGTCGTTCATGACGACCAACAACCCACTACCTACTGATCGACCAAATGTCATCATCAGAGAGGATGAACTGACACCGACACAGATATCCACTGAGCCTCAACCTGAGAATATGATTCCGGACATACTTGCTGAGAGAAAGCCAACCAGCGTCGACGATTTGGACAACAATTTAGCAGGACTGTTGGAGAGATCTGTCCCTAGACCCAATTCCAATTTAAAGGGGAAGTCGAGCCCAATTGGAGACCGTTCACCTCTTCCCCAGAGGGGTGACATTCCTGATCTTCCTCCCATTACCCGCCCTCCAGTCACTACAACCGCTACGCCTACCACCGCGCCCACCACCGCCCCTACCACCACGCCTACCACCACTGCCCCAACCACCACCACAAGCATGAAGACTCCTAGAGAAAAAACGCCAGAGATAGTGCCTTCTTGGATAGGGAATGACATCTTACAAGACGCTCCGACAACATCCGAGTCGCCGACTCAGCGACCAACAACCAAGTTGACCAAAGCTCCGAAAGCACGCACCACTAAGCCCACAACAACCCTGCCAAACACCGAGGTCTCTGAAACAAATTCTTCAGATACCTCCATCCTCGTCGACGCAAGGCCTCCGCTGACTAAGGTCGTAGGAAAAAGTAACGCTGGAGTAGCTGCTGGGTTGAGTGTCACCTTCATACTTCTCGCTATCATAGGTGTGGGATTGACCATTTATTTCTTAAAATTCCGAAAAGCACCACAGACATGAAAAACATTTTGATAAGCACGATCGAAATAAGAATTCATTTCCATTTTGCAAAATATTTTCTCAGTACCAATGAAAATTTGTTTGGTTGAAAACCAATGACTCTAAAACTAGACAGAACTGCATTTTCAAACCTTGTTCATGATTGTAATCCCCGTTGTTTATACATGTAATATAAGCATGTCTTAGCAATGAGTGCAATGTATAAAATATGTAATTGTTACAGAATAGGCCTACACCAAAACCGGCGGCTTTTATGTCCAGAATTAAGTAACTGAAAATGGAAACCGTGAGGCACAGGCCTTCTTTTTATTATCATTAATTAATAGGTACAAAGTTTGAAAGTGATTCATCTGCGTTCCGTTATTTTGTAATAATCGATATGTTGAAGGAAGAGAGCTAACTTTGTCGTCAAAATATTTGTGTACTCTGGTAATGCAGTCTATTGCAAAAGTAGACGTGGTTGCAAACTTGAATGTTTAGATGATTCAGTATTATTTTCGCCAAACCTGCATGACGAGTCACCAACATCCTTCTGATGGATTCTGCTGAATATTTTAAAGCACGTTTAGGCGAAAAATACCCACCCCATTATGAGATCTGAGACATACGTAAATTTTGTAAATCACAAAACCCTGGAGATGGATGACGCATGTAACGCTCGCTCACAAGTGTGGTTCCCATTCGTCTTGCTGAATTAGACTAGTCAGAAGGAAAAGTGCAAAAAAAAAACGCCATTTACTGTTTTTCTGAAATGCGAGGGCGGAGGTTGCAATTAATTTCAGAAAACTAAGTGGGCTTTTGCAGCAGAAACTTCAACACCGAAAGCATGTTATACAAAAGCTTTTTTGCTTTTTTGTAGAATGAGAGAAAATGCGTCGTGAAAATTAAGTTTTGGGGAGCTCTTACGAGGTGACAGGAAGCATTATTCAGCACGGAATGCCTTCTGGAAACTTCTCAGTAACAGTAAAAACACAAAGGAATTGCAAGTTCCATTCACCGCATCAATATTAACATTAAAGGGGATGCAAAAGACGTCAGATGAGATCTCATGGGTTTAAGGGCACGGAAGGGGGACCAGACGGTAAACTGAGGTAACCTATTCACAGACTAACAACCTGTCTGTATCCATACAGGTTGCTGGAAAAAGACTGGGCACTAGATGAATCATCGTGTTCCGTAAAGCGATAGATGTGTGGCATACACGCCCTTGAGAGGACCATTTGTGAACTTTTCTGCCTAAGCAGAATTGACCATTTCCAAATATCATATCCTGAGTGCAATGAAAGCACAAACTTGGCAATAAATACACAAATGAAAGACGTGAGCCTACACTATTGCTTGAGATTACAGAATTCTTGAATATGCATATGGCGGAACGTGGTGTGTGATTAATGCATTTCGAGTATTACTTTAGTCCACTTGTGATAAAAAAGAACCTGGGATATGACGCTTCTCTCGCTTTGCTTATACTTTTGGGAAATTAACTGCATTTTCTATATCAGTCAGAAATTGCGGTAACTGTGCTCTAGGTTAGTTTTTCATTGAAGACGAATTTAAATCATTGTATAAATAGTTGTATATATTTATCAGTGTCCATCTTAATAATAATCAGAAGATTTAGAATTATTAGCCCGTGGATTCATCGAAAAAGCGAAGTTGCCTTTTGACTGAGGAAAACTGCGTCAGATGACTTATTGGAATGAGCGAAATGTATATGTAAACCTTGATTTCAAACAGATGCGATACTAGACAATTGTCATAATCTTTCTAACACAGGAAACTGCCGGCATTTAACAGAAGTATTATATTATATAGCTAATACCAATGTTTCAATGTTCTGTCACAAAATGCTTGTTCATAAAGGCTGCGTGTATTAAAACAGTTCTGTGAAAAATCAAACAATTTTGCATCGAATTAATTTATTGTTGATGAATTGTCAATTTTAAAAGCAATGGTGTCTGTAGGTCACAGCAAAAACCGTTTACGTTTATTTGTACACATTGTAAAAATATAAATAAACCTATGGCCAAACCAATAGCATTTTCATAAGGGACCAATAAAACTGGTATTGACTGAGTCAGAGTTGCTTGAGGTCCAGTTGGTCAATTGAGAGTCATTGGAGGTCATTCAGACTCTCAAAAGTTATCAGCTGGACAGTATTAGGTTATCTTCAAGCACACTCGATGTATACTTTTCAATCTTTCTTCAATTATCTGCAGTTTTTTAGCTCATAAAGCCACAGACTAGACTGACCGTCCACTTATCCCTCTGGGGTCAGATAGGCACCAGGGTGCTAATCATTAACCTCTGACATAACCAAACTATGACCGTGTTTCTGACCGATAAGGTTACACGATCTTAACCCGGATTATACTTTTCGAAATTCAGCTAATTGCCTCCAATGTTATATGACTAAGTCTTCTGTGGCAACACAGTCGCGTGTAATTACGAGTTGGGAGTAGCCCTAATAACGGTGAAGCAAGATAATACCCTAACACCTCTAGGTATTCCATTTAAAGTTATAACACAGGACAAGACTAATTAAGACCTCTCTGCACAGCAACGATATTTTTTAATTTAAAGAGTCAAACTTCAGTTTTTCCCCCCAAATTGGAGACGTCCCCCTTGTTTTGGACTACCCAACAACATATACACAAGATCGTACCGTCTTGAGATTTTTCTCTCAAGAACAGATGTTGGGGTTAAGAGGTAGACAAGTTTTGTTCCGGACAGAAGTTAGCGAAGAAAAATGTATACATCGATCTGTGCATCTACACATCTATGATTCACACTTCCTTTGACTACAAGCCACATGGATGACTTGTCAGCATCTAACCTTGACGATCTATCAACATCCAAAGCTTTTAAGTCCACTGGGAATAGTTATACACATAAATCGGAACCAACGACTCCCTTTGGATAACCTCCACCCACCCTAGGGGCGTGAGAGAGCCTTCAAAAATCTTTATTGTGCGAGAAAGAATTTTTCCCTGCAAAATAGGTTTTTTAAGGCAAACTTACGACAACGTGATAGATGATAACAAGTTTTCTCAAGTACACATCTTTAAAATCTTCAGGACTGTTGCCAAGCGTTATGTGCGAAGGTGGAGGTCTGGAGGATGCAACGATTGAAAAAAAAATCAAAATCAAACATCATAAATTAAAACTCTTATTCTAGTTGAAGCTTGTTCACTCTTACCATTGGTTACCCACAAAAAATAATTTCATTTTTTTAACCACTGAATGTTGATATTATCCAACAGAGGAATGCCTGGAAATTTAAATGGTTACGGCATTATTTTCGATGTTTTATAAAATTTGGTAATCTAGATTCCCCCTTCCATTCCTGAAGCGTTTCAAGCTTCAGCTTTCCTTATCCCAATTGTCAGATTTGACCTTGCTGTATTGACACCCTGGTCTGGCTGAAAAGAACCATAAAGGGTCTCTGGCTACAAGGAAATGCTTCATTTCACTCACCGGAAATTTGTCGGGAACTCTTCAAGTTTCATAACGGACAGTATGGCGGAGAAGCATCAGAGGATGGGTGCAAGCAGGCTCGGTCATCGTGTCGGTGTGTTTAGGAGAGGGGCATTCATTGCCAGAGAGAACTTGACCACTAAGTAGCTAGGGTCTCCTCTCAGCTACTCCCGAAGTGAAACAACTGTAGATCTCTTGCAAATCCACAAATTACTCTCCCTGAAAAAGAAATAAAGTCTGTGGTAGATCAATTCTCTGTGAATACGTTACGTTTTATGCCATTATAAAATGATTAAAAAGGAATAATATGCCCAAATTTGACACGTTCGTCTTCTTTCGCCTACCGTGCAAACAACAGATAGGCCTATACGGCATTATCAATTTCAATTTTACGAAAGTTAAATCCCACTTTTGAATCAAGAGCTAATTCGCAGTGTTGGTTACATACTAGCCAGGATAGTAGATTGATTGCCCTGTGATTGATGGCAGTAGCTCATTTTCGAACTCGGCTAATATACAGGCCAACCGGGTAATCCCAAAGGTTATGATGGGTGTATTGTTAATAAATTGGGAATTTAAATGGCTCTAATTCCCAGAAAAATGTAAACTATAAATGCAAATGTCGGGCTATGTTTGTTAACTTTGGCTAAACGCTAAAAATACAATATTTAGAAAAGCCTCTAATACCAGATAAAAGCTTTTTCCCGTCGAGAACTGTGAAAGCTCATTCGCGGAATGCCATGAAATGGTCTAGGCCAATTAGCAGTGTTTGAAACTACCCTTTTTCTCGCCTTAATCACGCGCTTCATCAAAATCTATCTTGAGTGTGCAATAGGAACATTTTAACTCCTCCGCCTGTAAACGTCCAAACCGGAAACGTAAGGTGACATTCCGACTTTATGTATCTGTGTGTCAGTCAAGGGGCTCAAAATTATTCCTGTGTGAGTGCAAGCAAACTGTCTGTTCATTGCGTTTTTGGTTTTTTTTTTGTTTGTTTTTTTAGATTTGTTGAGATTGAATTTGGAGTCATCCTGTGATTTACTAGATTAGACAAGATAACTCCAATCCAGGCAGTATATTATTGGTAAGATTTACACATAGCTTGCTCAGGGATAGCGGGAAGAAAACATTGTAATCGAAACAATGACCTCCAACTTACACCGTAATGCCATTCCAAATAGACATCATTTTTCGTGTCGCAATTTGACAAATTTAACAGTTTTTCAAGTAAAGAATGCTCGGGGTAGGGGAATTGAGACGGCAGGAACTAAAACCAGCTTCAGAAGCAAGACAGATTGGTAGACGAGCAGGAAAGGTGAAGTCATTTCCACTGGAGATGATGACAGAGTTTTTTTCTCACTAGATTCGAGTTAGACTTTAATACCAGCATCGGGTTAGCCGCGATACTTGCCTATGGATTCCAGGTGAAGATCTACCCCAGAGCTGTGGGGTAATGAAGATCCATATTTGTCGTTTCCCATTATAGACAACTACATTACCATGAGCTAAGCATTCAAATCACATTTTGGAAATAAATCGACAGGATATGGCCACAGACAAGGCATAAACTCAGACTTGATTCCAGTCTAACTGTCGGGAAGCTGTTGCTTATATTTGGGTCAGGGTTTCTTTTTCTCACCTCCAGGCGAGTCAACTGGACCATAGCATGGGAGGGGTTGTTGCCAAGGGGGTGGGGAGTCGTTTCCTTCCTGGTCTGTATCCTGTAATAAAGGCTACTAACCGTGACCTTATTGCAGAACGTATGCAAACGAAACACGCGATAAACTATTTAAAAGACCGTTGCCTGACAACAGTAAAACAGTCTTCAGCCAGTCGTCGTCATTGTTTGGTTATAAGAGATTCATTCACGCAATGGTGGATGACAAGATCGAATTGAATAGGCTGATTCTTTGTACAATGACAAGGACACAATTTTACAGGGAAAGATGGTTTTCATAATTTCATCTCGTGAATTTGTTCCCTCAAATAAATTTTCTGAGAGCGTCCGAATTTACTGAGTACCTCTGGTAGACTTTGCCCATGCATGAGCCAGTAGCTTTATCTTATCAAGATCACCAGACGCAGAGATCCAGGGACTTGTTTCCCGTCATCAGCACCCAGGAATAAGGATCCATCGACCGTGTTTCCTTTTCCACTCCGCTGAGAATTCACTCCGGAAAACTCTTTACCACCTTTTGGTCAGATGTTTTCATTCTAATTTATGCATTGCTTTTTATAAGAATGAATTTGTTTCTATAGAAACATAAATATGGCCTTTGCAGGTACGACTCTAGATGAGTAACAATTACACGATCTCAGTAATAATATGGTCCCATGGCAGTGACCCTTTAATAAATACAATGTTTTGCTGTTTCACTTATGATTTTTCCTGTTAGAATTTGACATTTACAGCAAACTGCAATTCACAATGATGTTAGATGAGTCATGCAGGTTGTGATCCAATTACGATGGATTTTAAGCTCTTGTCTATGCTGTGTGGAATTCATTAAAATATCCAGGTACCCACAACAAGGGGAATTCCTGAGAAGTACGTGATTTCAGCTGGGGACTTCAAGCCAAGAAGGAAACTTGCTCAGCAAAATGTTATAATCCGCAACGGACTTCCTTCTGACTCATTGCAACGCAACATAACCGTCGCGTTTCTTGAGGCCTTGAATGGAGTAGTGGGATCTAACATGATGATTTTATCACAGAGAATTTGACGAATGGTCAAAAGACGTTGACTCCTTGGTCGTTATAGCATTCAAAGATTTGATTCCGTAAGGGCATTGTCGAGAGTATCCGCCCTGAGCAAAAGCACCCCCCCCGAAAAGAACTGTGTTGGTCGGGAGTGTTCATTTCATTGGTAGCGATGCGACCGCAACGATTGCATTTCTCAGTAGTTCGTGAACCAGCGATGCGCAGTTACTACCAAAGGAGCCTCTGTTGCTAGGAAAATTGCGGCGCCCATTTTTGGTCCAGCTCGAGACTCATTGTAGGATAAAACTGCTGTTATTGTTCGCTCGAATCTATAGGCAGGGCTGGAGTCAGTTCGGCAAGATTCGGCTTATCTAAATTTGCCTTTACTCGCTTGGGCTAAACTCGGCCAGACTCAAGTTAACCAAGTTCTGCTATAAACAAAGTCTGGGTTTAACTGACTCTGCTCGGTTTGACGCAGTTCGGTTTGACAGTGCTCGGCAACGCTCGGCAGCATTTCGCTCGGCTTGATTCCATAATTCTACGCGGCTGTAGTCGATTATTTGGATTTGTATTTGACTTGCATTTGAATTTCTCACTGCTCGATTCGGCCTGTTCTTGGCTCTGCTTGCTCAGTTCCACCTGCTAACTCAAGGTCATTCACTTCATACTGATTAACGGGTTGAATTTAGACTACTTTACACCCGTTAATGAAAGGGGGAAAACTTGAATGGATATCCACGTTGGCTCACTTCACTGCAGGTCATTTGCTGTCATTATCGACCTCAGTGCAGACGTCAGAACGAACTCAACAAATGGATGGTTTCCGGAAGGGGGCGATCAGAATGAGTGATAACTGTTGGGTTGTCATGGTTTTAATGACAGTCCACGGACATCTAATCTCATCATCTGACATTTCTCTTGAACAGGTGAAGATTAAGCTTATCCTAGCGTGACACAAAACCCAGTTTAGATACTACTGTTTTCAGAAAGTCCTACTTGTCACTTGCGTTGGTGTAGAGCGTTGCAATCTGACAAGTACTGGTGTGGAAAGAAAAATGAAGTTTGTGCTGGGAATACGCGTCACATAGCAAGTGTTGTTTTCGACCAATTTGTTAGGGCAGATAGTTAAAACCTTTTTAAAACTGCCAAAACAATATCATACCAATTTTTGTTTTATTTAATGAAATAAGAAAAATGCGTGGAAACGAACATTGATTTTCTTCTACTCTCTCCACAGCCTGTTACACAATTATGTACAAGGTCCGCCCAAAAGTGACATGTTTTGAATACTTATTGTAAAAATGTGTAGGAAAATTAGTAGGAATCAGAGGATAATGTCCTGAGGCTAATCCAGATAAATACTTTAAACTTGACAAAGACTATTTAAAAGTTCGAAGCTATGGTATGATGCATTTAGTTATAAATGAAGTCCTAACAACGTAATAATAAAACATTACAACCGGAAATAACACTCAAGGTAAATACTTGGGTGTGATAGACTCAAGAGAACACGTGACAGTTCTGGACATTGAGGGGGCTGTACCTGTTGCATGGTCACTCCCGTAACCAGCCACATTCCCATGGGTACGATCTTGCCGCACTATGTTGGTTCCCACCATGCCTTGCGTAATACCCTTGGTATTGTACAATTTAAATATCCCACTATTTTAATTATATATGCACTCTACACCACTGATCTCCATTATCTGCTCCGAGCGGAACAAAAGAGGGCGTGTTTTTTTGGTACTCACCGCATAGGCGCGCCATGAGGCACGCAAGTATGTGCACGTTTACGCAGAGCATGCTCAGTACGCGTTACTAATTTACTCCGGTATGTATGGTCCAAAAGGTATAAATCCAAAGGTACTTTACACTTGATTAATCAGTTTTGCCCCCACTCAATTTCGTAAAGGGCACTGAGGCGCAAAAATCGACTCTGCTTCTGGTTTGTGCATTTCGTCGTCACTTCATTTACAAGAGACAAGTCTCCCCTCTACATGCACTCTATTCGTACCTCAAAATGTTCGATGACTTTTTTCCAACCAGGGTTTCTTCTTTCAGATCTCAAATGTTTACAATAGGTCTGAAAAGTAAATATTTTCATGCAGTAAATAATGCAATAAGCCTTGGCGCGCCAACCGAAACGGTTACTCCTTGGCTGTTATGCTGTTGGAATAGTTATTTTTGCTACTGCGGTTAATGTTGTTGTTGGTGTTGTTGTTGGTAGTGTTGTTGTTGTTGAAGTTGTGATGCATGGCTGTAGTGATTGCTGGCTTGTTGATACTGGATATTCGGGAACGGCTGTTGAGTATTCCGATGATAATGTTGCCCCTGGAGATTTAGTTGATGTGCATTCTGTAGGCTGAGTTGCGGCTGATTGGTAGATTCTTGTGGACGCGGCTGGCATCTAATCCTAGTATTGTTGTTGTTTTGGCCATTTTGTGGACTGCAATAATATAACAGCAGAAAGTGTAGAATAAATGTATTCAAAGTGATTTATCTTTTGAAAAAAAAATCAAGGTATCGTTTAACTTTCAATCTAGGGAGGGAATGTAATTGGCGTTATTTTATTACAGTAGAAACTAGGAGACATTCATATAGGTGGACGGCAATAATACAATAAATTTTAAAAAACCCATAGTTTTCTCTTTGCAGTAGTCTAACTTACAATTGGTTCCGCTGGGCGAACAAAATGCACGGATCTTCTAGCATAACGATCGGTTGAGGCTGTCCGTGTGCCGCAGGCTGCATCATCGGGATTTGATCTTGCTGATTCCCGGTTACGAACGGTTGCTGTGTTATCTGGTCCTGCTGACGCCCGTTTAAGAATGACTGTTGTAGCTGCATCATTTGAAGTTGACCTTGCTGTTGATTGTTCCCAAATGACTGCTCCGGCTGCTTGGCCGGCATTGGCTCCTGTTGGCGCCCGTTTACAAATGCCTGTTGCGGGTGCATCATCGGCAAAACCTGGTCCGGTGGATGTCGACCATTCACGAATGGTTGCTGTACGTGATTCGGCATTCCTTGCATGGGGTGATGCTGACGAGGATGCTGGGGATTCGGAAACCTATTCGTAGTCCAATTGGCAAGAGGTAAGTTAATGTAAGGGACTTGGTTGGGAATCTGTGGCGGAATACCAGGTCCAGGGTGTCGATGACGGAACGCCGAGACAGCCGCTGCAGTACCGGGACGTGGGTGCCACAGAGCGGGGGCAGGGATACCGGGCGGCGCACCTCCTCGTCCGTAACCCGCTTCAATACTCGACATCACCTGCTCTTGACGAAGTGGCGGCCCACTTGCTTGCTGGTGTGGCATCTGGTGAGTATGAAATGCAGATCCAACCTCCTGCTGTCCTCCTGGATGTGGCACCACCAGGAGTCTTCCAGAGAGTTCCTTGTCTGGGAGACTGCTGAGCTTCTCACTGTTGTCACAAGTTGCCTGGATATCTCCGTCTACCGTCGGTCCTGTGTTTCGGTTGTTGCCTTCTGTTGTTTGTTGGGTTCTTGGAGGAGACTGATGTCGATGATGGACCACTCCTTGCTCGATGACAGGAATCGGATGTTGCTCACTCCGAAATGTCTCTGCTTTCTGGTTCGGTGGCTTTGGTGTGCCTCTCCGCTCTTTCGGCACACGCAACTCTCCTTCATTGTTTTCTTGTACTGGTTTCAAGCAATCCTTCTCTTTTCCTTCTGTGCGTTTTTCCTTTGCAAGAACGTCCCTCTTCTTTTGCGCCACGTTTTGGTTCCGAGAAATGCTTTCTTTCCCGCCAATTTTTGTTGTTATAGTTGTATCCTTACCACGTCTACACGCTGAGTCTGAAGCCTTTGGCAAGGGTTTACTTTTTGGCACGAATGGTTCAGCTTTGACGTATTGTTCCATGAGGGACGCGAGTTTAGCATTGGCTTCAGCCACGTTCTCTTTGGCCGAAGCGTTGATACATCGGACGTTCTTACTTGTTTGCTTAGCTGCGTTGTTTCCTTGGTTTTTGTGCCTCTTTCCACCAACTTGACAAGCTGCTGAGATGGTAGATGAATCTTTGGTGTGATGAGATTCTGATGGAAGTTTTACTTTCAATGCAGAGTTTTCCTGCTTACCTTGCTTGTCTTGCGATGCAGATTTGTGGTTGCGATCGTTCGGAATAACGATTTCTTTTCCCTGTTTTCTGTCTTGCGTTTTGTGCACATCGAAGCTTTTCCTATCCGTCTTTTGCAATCTCTTTGCCACATCTTTCGCTGTTTCCTCCTCATTTGTCGTATCAACAGCCATAGGGAGGTACACTGGAGATACCAAAGTTGTCAAATTCAACGGTGACGAAAGCAATCCTTGTTTCTAATTCAGGGGGATAACATACAAATATTTAAATACAGGCACAGGGAATTTGCACCTTTCAAATTTAAATCGCTAGTAAAAAATCACTTGAAGCGTCTTTGAATCGCAGAGATGATCCCTCACTGAATCAAGTTTGGTAATATGATGAGATATACGAACATCCTTGAATGTCTCAAGATCATTCATGATGAGTTTGGTTGATGTCAAAAATTGAGGATTTGATAACCCCTACTCCATCCAGTCAAAGAGTGACTCTTAACCTTGATTTCTTCCTCAATGCTTGTCCAGGAAACGTTGAGTTGCGGTGACCATAGCCGACTATCTCGCCCGTACCTCCCCCTGCTGTTCCATATTCTTCTTCTTCTCAGCGATTCATGGGCTCTCCTCCAAGACATTTTTGGATGGTTTAACCTGACTCGGTAGAAAGTTAAGGGCGACTTGTCTTTATTCTCCTTAGTGATCGAGCGCTCAGGCTGAAAATTACATCTTGAGAAATGGTTGATGACGATTTATATTTTACTTCATAATCGATATGTAAGGCCTGCAGACTTTAGAAAAATCAAAATCACAATATCAACACACGTAAAAACTAGACAATGTAAAATAAATGAACGTTATTCAGCATGTTGCCCTTCTATACTGTCTGTACCTGTACCTGTGGTACTGTCTGAAGCAGATGGCATCTCTCCATGTTCCTCTTTGACTTTCCTGATTCTCCGCCCTTCCATCGCTCCCCGAATCACCCCTCCCTGGAGACCCTTTACCTTGCAACTTCTCGCAGTCCATGGGAGGACTTAGAATCTCAGATTTATACCCATCCATCCCCCATTCCTCTGTACCATCACATGGTGCTACAAGTGTGTCGCTAGATGTCACTGATGAGGAGCCCTTGAGTGTGGAGGAATCGTTGGAACTTCCTGGGCTAATATCAATGGTCATCTCTCCTTCGTCCTCAAGGCTGAAGAGCAGTTCCTCAGGGATGCCATCTGCCATCTTGCACCGGACAAGATCCGGGGAAGAATGCTTCAGATGGATGGAACTGTACACAACACCACTCAGAATATGATTTTGAGCTGTTGTCTCAGTAAAAAAATATAATTAAAGAATCTTGGAGATGTTGGTTGCATGGAACTAAAGAAAGTAGGAGTGTAGCCTAATACAACCGTGCTTGCTTGAAGTAGCCTGTACAACACAGTACAATGGTCACCTGTTTGCTTTTGTGTAATGCTGATGTGGATGTGCAAAATAGTTGGCGTAAAACAGGCGCTCTTAGGACCTCCAACATTTTAAACTTACATAAATGGAACTATGTAACATGAATAAAAGTGTAGAATGCCATATTTTTTTGGAAACCAACTCACCCTTCTGCCAAAGTGGTGGTTGCTCTGTCCAGGGCATCTGTCACTTCAGCCATGATATCATCAATGGTTGTCATAACAAATCTCTTATCTGTGTCTCGTCGCTGGCGATGTAGAATGTCACTGTGGATATCTAAGTGGTCCATGACGGTTTTCCACACCCTAGTGTCGTGGACTGTTGCTGTGGGGGGCGATCGGTGGTAAAGATCATCCCCGATACCAGTAGGAGTCGACCACGCACGATGATACCTTGACCGTTGGTGGTGGAAGCCATTTCGCAGTAAGTTGCTTACCTTGGGCATAATTTCATCTGCGGTTAAAATTAATGTACAAGAAAGAAAAAAAAAATAAGCGACTTTCAGGCCAACAGCAGTACATGGCTCTTTTATTATGAGAATAAGTTCAAGAGAACGAGTTTCCAAAACACGCGCGCGTAGAGTAATTCCCAATACGCGCCCATTCCGGCGTTATTGGACTAACATTTAAAACCCTTGAAGTTCAAATGAATTGAGAAAAACGTTATTTTTTGCATGTTTAGTTAATATGCTGTTGCGAATAGTTTTATGTGATATTGATGTGAAAAAGGAAACCCTTTACATCTTACACGATAAGCGTAAAGGAAGCCCTCTGTTGACGGATTTAGTTTTGTTTTCATTTAGCGTGTTGAAATCGAGGCTGTAATATACGATTGCATTATTAAAATGTACGTTAACCAGACGTCGCCCATTTTGGATTGCTGTGTAGCTAGTGCTAGTGATCACGTAAAATTCCATCGAGAATCATCTGGCCCTTTGAAGGCCAAATATTCAATATTTCTACTCATCTGTATAGATTAAACATTAAATAAGGTATTTACCAGTTTTCGGAACACATCGTTGCTGAATAATCCGGTGAACACTGACCAAAGTGATCAATCTCAGACTAGTTGACTGCCGGATTTTTGGAGAAAATGGCCTGCGCAACACTGAAACGGACACTCGATTTCGATCCTCTACACAGCCCAGCCGCCTCTCCTAAAAGACGAAGATGTACTCCTCTCTTGTCTCCTTCATCACCAACATCAGCCATGTCCTCGTCATGTCGACAGCCGTCAGCATTTCCTCCAGTTACGCCAAGGATGTCGCCGGGTAAGTTTCCTTGTTCGCCATGTTGTTTCACCACCACCGACCATGTACCACTGCTTTGTGATGCGACGATCAGCTGATCCGCATTGCGCACGTACGGGAAAGTCAATGCCGTTCTTAAACCCCCCCCCAAAAAAAAAAAACATAATGTTGGTAATTTGTACAGTCGTGAGTTCTTTGGAAACTGAACAAAGAACGACCTTGTGTCAGCATAGAACATGATTGTGTTCGTCATGTTTATTTGATCTAGTTGAGGCCTAGGCCTACATGTAGTTCATTGTGGCTGTGGTCAGTGATGGTCATTTGAAGTTATAACCATCATAAAGACATTATGGTGGTTATGATCAAACTTAATGATAGTTACGATGGTTTCAGAGTCATATTTATTCTAAAAATTAAATAAATCCGGGCATATGAAGGCTAACAACATACTGATGTTCAGAAAGGATCACCGTTGACTGTCATGACTGTTTTAGGTGGGAAAATTACATGAAATGATGAAGGATTGTTTAAAAATCAAGCAAGTAGGCCTAAACATGTACGTATTCTGTTGATCTAACATGGTATACAAATTTTTGTGATCTAACATGGTATACAAATTTTTGATAACCCCAAGAATTATTTTCCATGGACAAGAAGCACTCAAACTTACACATGTATATGTACACTGATATTTCCCCCTACATGTACCTGTCCATTTCAGTCAATATTGTAGCTGCCTTAACATGTGTAAGGCTTTCTCATTTCTTTTCAATGAATTTCCACAGGTCAATTAGCAGCCAACATTTGTCTAGAATGGAAGAGGCTGAAAAGAAGACGACATCTTGAAGAGTCTTACAACGATGCTGGTGCAGGCACCAGCAGCGAACCTGGTGATTCTGAGCCTCAGGTCACTGACATGATCCATCAATCATCGTTCCCTAGTCATATGGCGCATTACCATGGTGCACCAGGGTCACCCAACACATCGTCAGGGGGTAGTTCGCTAGGGGCCGGGCCTCAGGGGAGTAAAGATCAACCCATGTTCACCCTGAAGCAAGTTATTATTATCTGTGAGAGAATGCTGAAGGAACAAGAGGCACGAATACGTGAGGACTACGACAAGGTCCTCTCGTGTAAACTAGCAGGTAAGGTGAAAAGTACTTCCAAGGTATTTTAACCATGAAGCTTTCAATCCATACTTGTGCATGACAGGTTCAGTACTTACTGGTAAATTGGAGTGAAAAAAACTGTTGACTTGGGATTCAGAAGTATATAAAAAATAACTCTTTCTGGCTTAGCTTGTTTTTGCAAAGACAGAGATGACTGAACACGTTCTAACAGCAATATGCGTCTTGAATCGACACAATGCAAACTGATGTGGTTTGGTTCGGCATTCTGACAGGGAAGGCATTTAATATCCCCAGAGGTTTTGAATCGTGAGTTGATAACAGAAATATTCCATTGAATTGATGAGTAAACACTGCAAACCCTCTATCTGGGGATGCATTAACTTCCCTTGGTACACCTGTGGGTACGTTATTCATAATCTGTCTTTGATTTCCCTTTGGGGCATGGTTAGCTATCCGGTTTGGAAGGACTGCTGGGATGGGGGGGGTATACCCAACTGGTTACTTCCTCCATCTGCCAGCGCCGTGAATGAATGAGACAACCATCGCCCACAGCTAAACAAGAAGGAAAAACTTTCAAGCTTACTAAGAGCTTCAGTGGAATTAGACTTACAATACTTGTAGGTTTTTATAGAAAATATAATTGATACATGAATTGTACAGTGCTCACCTGTAACATTCAAATGACTAATTGCATTTCACACTGTACAAGCATTGAAACACATTTTAAGGATTACATGCATTGTTAAATTCTGTTCACAACTGTCGTCAAAACAAGTGTTCTGGTTTCCAGTTTTTGATCTCCACCTTAAGTTCTAGACAAATTTTAAACCTGAAAGTCCTGGTTATCTGTCACTCACCAGAATGTGGTCACGGCTTCCTATGAGCTTGCAAACTCACCTGTTACTTCCTGACCAGTTGGTTTTAATAGGGGCAAACTGGCAGAATGGACAACCTGTAGTGAATCGTTGATTGATTTCCCTGTCTGTATCTTAATCAACTGATGTTTCCTTTGCCTCTAAGTAGTCTGTACATGTATCTCAGAATGGCAGCTCATAGGGTATTTACAAAGAGTTTTATCACACAATTTACCGGTATAATATAAAATAGAAGTTGTTAAAAGGACAAACGACATCCAGGTTCTATTTCTACATGTTGGCTATATATCCACACTACAGTGACCAATTATATGTAAATGTATGTGTCATCAAATTTCCTTTGGTTTCAGGGGACCTGGTCAAGGTTGACAATTAAAATGTCACCAATGAATTTATTCACCATTTTGCATTCAGCTTTACGTTATGAAACAACCTTAAAGATAAAACGTTCAGACGTGTATCTTGAATTTTTCTTCAACTCCTCCAGACAGCTTAGGTTAAATTACATATGTAGTTCTGAGTACTATATTTTTACCAACTGTTTTGAAGGAAGAGTGACTAAATAATATTTTTGCAATCAAGAACCAGTTCTATCTCCTATTGTCAAACCTTCAATCAGCCAACTACTGCAGGATTCTCCCTGTACAGTTGCAAAGCTGAGGAAATCTATGGCAGTGATTTTATATTTTCAACAGTCATGGTCCTGCCTGACTAAACCACTTAATTCTATGGGAGGATATCCTGGAAGGATGAACCAGCAAGACTTTATGCATCTACACATGTCCATGGACATTAATGTACATGGAGGTTTAATACAGCCTGAAGGATATAGACACGTCACGTTAGGTCTCTTGCCTTGCATGACTGGTTGTATTAAAGTCAATAAATTGTTTGATTTTAAGCGACTACCGTTGGCTGACTGTGCGACATGGACACAAGGAAAATAATAAACTCTACAAATTCAAAGGATGAACCTTTTTAAGTGGACCACAGGCGAAAGGAACTAAACAAATAAATTTACTTACACAACCTGCCTATTTGAAATGAAAGGAAAATGTTAAGTGTCAAAAAAGTAACTATCAGATTGTGAAACAGAAAGGTGTGATGAGGTGATAAACCTCTAAGAAATATTATCATCTTTCATTTCATGTCAATCGTATTTAAATATTGTACTGAACTGTCTTATCTGTCTCTGCAGAACAATATGATGCCTTTGTGAAATTCAACCAAGATCAGCTTCATCGACGCTTCAGAGACACCACAGCTAGTTGTAAGTATTGCAATGTATTTGTATGTTTAAAAAGCTCTAACTCAAACCTGGATCTTAAAAAGTAGATCAAGATTGTGGAGTCATCATACCCATTGCTACTTGAGGGAAGGTCACACTCATACATGTATGCACCTTTTACAATTCAATTCCACAATACATAGTAAGCCTAGAAAGTGAAACCAAAGCCAATGATTTACAATATCTGCAGAACCTGCAACCAAATTAGGTTTGCTTGAAGAATCTGTGTGAAACTGTATGAGCAAGTGATCAGCTTTGCATTCCAACACATGAATAAAGATGAGACACACTGCATTGTACTCAAGCTATCATATCCAACTTGGCTAAGAATATTAACCAGTCTCTTACCTTTTTTTCCATTTACAGATGTGTCATAAGATGCACATTCTTGGTAGAGTTTCATCATTTTCACCAGAGCTGTTGTAATTACTCAAGGATATTCTTGAGACTTAAACAGCAGGAATAGCACAATATAACACCACTCTCACTTCCCCAATGAGTGCAAGACACCAAGAAGCAATTGTAGAAATACCTTTTCCTCCAAATGTCACAGTTAAAATGTTTAATTTCCAATTATTTTCGTGCAGAAGTCATTCTTAAGTATATTTACCTAAATGATAAAGATAGTTATAGCAAAAAAGAAAGGAAGAAAATAGAAATTTTTGGAAAAATACAAAAACAGGGGATGCCACACTTCATTGAAGAGGGTAATGTTTGATCTCCACAATGTGGAAACTGAATCACAGATGGCATCAATGAATAGGCTTTAACTTCTCTGCACATAACAAATCAAAATTAATCATCATAACTTCACTTTCATAGTCTGAGGAAATGTTTTTGGTCTGATGATGAAAGATAGTCTTGTTTGTGTTTTACCTTTATACTCAAGTGTCGGTAACAAAATCAAATTATTTTTAGTTGGTCCATCATATTAACTTTTGTCTGCACTATGTAATGTCATGCTTAATCACCTAGGAAACCTACTTTTTAAGTCATCTGTTAGCATATTTATCCCAAGTACCAGTATAATTAACTGAATAAAGAATTGTGTTACTGTCTCACGTAATGCAGGAGTTGGAGTTTATTTACACACAGATCTGTAACCAATTTGTCGTGTTACCCAAACTTACTGTGAAAAGGTTAATCCATAGCTGGAAAAGGAAAAAAAAACAATCACTTGTCAGGTGTCCAGTTTTCTTTTTAAACTAGTGGTCATTAAAGATCATGCTCTTTGTCTTGCTTGAACATATGAGACACACTTGATGTCAGCAACATTAAGAGGAAGGAGCACCATTAAATGGAACTTGGAGCCTTCAGGATTTTTATGTACATCTTTCAACAGAATCCCAAAGACATTCACGAAGTAGCCAAAAAATGTGGTACTTATGTTTATTACGTTTTGGTTGACTTTTTATTTGAAAAGGAAAGTGTTCAATTTTGTACATATTGTACAGCAATTGTTCTTTAACTCTTGTATTATTCTCTTATTTTAACCCTCATTTTACTCATTGAATTTTTTTGTTCCTGATTTTTCTGTCTGTGTTTAGATAGTATAGTGCTGTGAATTTAGAGATAAAGTGTGAACACATTGTTACCTTCAACTACATTTGAGTTAGACTTTCATTTTTCACAAGGTAATTTTAGGGGGTAGGGAACAAAATGACCAAAGAGACATGCAATTCAATGCCATCGGCATATAATGCAAGTTTCCAACAGGAAACGCAACAACGTTTGGGTAAGAATTTACTAAGAACTTTTCCTGTTCTGCAGAGGTACATGCCAGCTTATTGTCCTGTGTAGCTGTCATTCACAAGTGGACATCAAGCTTCATGTTACGGATTAGTGTCCTGTTTTCTTTCACTTCAGTCCCACTGAAATCACCTTGTGCACTTTATTTTTTTTGGTGCTATGTGTTTGTAGTTGCTTCGTGAGAATATTGAATGACTGGTAGTCAAGTGATAGTCAAGTGATGTACGTATAACATTAATAAAAGGTCTGGTTCCTGAACCATATTTGCAATTACTTGTTACTTTGTACATAATTCGTGTATTAACAAGTCAGTTCTGAATAAAGAAGTTAAACATAGCTTTGTGTGTTTATAATGTTCAAGTTCATTCAGTGAATCAGTTACATGTATGTTTCACCGAGAATAACCATTGCAAATCATTACTGGATTTTGCTGTACAAACAGGGACCATCTGATATGCAGTCAACTCTCGTTATAAAGAATTATAACAATATGCTGTTACAAAAAACAGATTTTAAGAATCCCAATTTATTAAATTATTTTCTTCATTTTTCCACTCATAATAAAGTCCAGGTTATAACAAAGAAATTTGTCTGGTTCCTGCAACTTTACTGTAACGAAAATTGATTTCCATCATAGTTGTTTTTCTTTGTGAACCTGTACAATCAAAAATTGTGGCCTTTGTGTCAATAGCTGTAAAGCAATCGACCATCTTGAGACCAGAAATAGCTAAAAATTTGACAATTCATTTATAAAGCGTAAATTTCATACAGATATGTTCAAATGCGCTGTGCAATGAAGACATTTAAACATGGTTGAGCCAATGGCATACAAGGGCGCCTCAGGCAGCCGCCAAACGACCCACATTCACCAACTTCAGTAAAGGGGAGACAGTAAGAAGCAGTTACAGTTTTAGAGGTGGGAGAATAACCCCAGAGGAATATTCTGGGTAAAACCCACAGAGTCAGGTAGGGACTGAAAACCCAATCCACGTGTGGACCAGGCCTGGAATCGAACCCGGGACCACAGAGGTGGAAGGCGAGGAAAGAACTACTTTGCCAACCTGACTCCCCTTCCTCGTCACCCACAATATCCGTTTCAGCAGCTGCTGTGACTTTGATTAGTCAGAATGCTGGAAGCGTAATCAATCATAGGGGACAAGCGAGAATAACCAGGCTTGCTATTTTGTGATACTGACAGAGAATCTCTCCAGATTACATGAATCTTGTTTTCTACACTTCTTTCCATGCTCTCTCAAAGAAATGGAATATTGCCCAATCCCAAAAATTAAAGCTCACAGCAAGAGGCCACATTATCGGCCTAAATGCCAAGCTGCATGCTTACAGACTGATTTATTTTTCCATTAATTTAGTTTACAATCAAGGAAAATCTTTGAGTAAAAGGAAAACAGCATCAATATCAAAATGAACAGAAGTGACAAAGTAAACTGGTTTTTATATGAAAAAATGTCGTGGCATAAATACTTCCACCTTGTATTTACATGTATAATGCACATCAATCTTTGCTGTGCCAGAAAAATACCTGAGACTTCATGGCAGATTTTTCAGTTCATAAGCAACTAAATATACATGTACTCTAGTGGATTCATTTACAGCTTGAAATGACTTCCAGGATCACGTAAAATCATCTGCATATTGGGAGGTGGATTTGTAAGATTTGCCAAGCGACTTATTGGAAATAGGGACCGAGGAATACTAAATACTGCTTCAGAGACTTCGTGTTTTCCTCTAAAGGTTATTCTTTTAGCAACTATTCCAAGTACCTCAGAAAGCTGGAACTGCAGTGAATCCACCAATACCTCTCGAAAGTTGACTACTGGATTTAGCAGGAGATTCATGGTATGAAAGAAAGAAAGAAGTCTTGTGATCATGGGGTCTACGAGATAAGTGAGTCTTTAGTATTTGACTTGGAACTTCAAGTCATACTCTTCCCATCTCTGGCAGCATCATCATCAGTTCTGGATTTCTTACTCTCTACTTCCTTGTTATTCTCTTTCTTGTCATCTGCTGGCTTCTGTCTTTTTAGAGCCTTCATCTTTCTGGTTTGTAGCTTATCAAAGTCCTGAGACTCCATGTGGATACGGCCAAGCTTGGTGCCGAAGACATCGTGTTTGATATTTTTCTTTTTCTTGGGCTAGGATGAACAAAGGAAAATGACAATAAGAATACACATCAGTTGTGTTTTTTCTTAATTACCTCTGCTAACATGTCATTCCAGAGATCCCATTGGTAACTGATGCTCATTATTGCCATGGACAGTTTGAAGCTGGTACTCAGTAATACATGTAGTTCCTTTATATGGCAAGGGACCATTGAAAAAACATGAAATGCAATCTCTCTATTTAATGTAAGATTAATTAACGATCTGTCCTGAAGGGTACTCATTTACTCCTTTTTATTATTAACGACAAACTTGTCCAGGACACATGCACTTTGACCCCAAATAATGGGCTCTGATCAAAAATCCGTAGAATGACTTGATTCTGAGAAGCCGGATGGCCAAAGCATTCCACAACGGACCACATAACCATTTTGAAAATTGGAAATGAGAAATTTCACTGATGAAGTCAGGGTTAACTGGAATCTATGCCAAATCACCTTGAGCTGTTTGGGTTTCTTCATAGCTTGCTTGTAAAGGTCCAATGATGCCAGATGACTTCTTCTCAGCACCAAATCCATCGATGGACCAATTTCCTCCAACTCCACCCTTGGGGTTTTGCTACCAGACTTCTTCAGCAAGACTCTGTGGTAACAAGGAGAAACGAAACTTTTAGTATGAATCAGAGTAGTTCTTTCCAATCTGTCTGTGATATTTTAGCCATTAGCTTGTGTTTATTTGTTTTCTTTTTAACCTAAAGGCATTTGATAAATACTGAAACGCATCTACAATTTAAGTAAATGTAATTGTAAAATCACTTTAATAAGTTTGCATTCTTAAACCAAATTAAAAAATGGATTAGGGTGTAGCTTTGCCCAAATTACAGCCTGTTGTAAAAGGTTACTTTTATTTCAAAGAGAGACATCAATTACAATTGGGAGCTGGGATAAACTAAAATGTGTGAAAAAAGCTTAAAAACAATAACATATCAACATTTTAATGATATTTTATAGTCATACTGAACCCCATTCCCCCAAACATCTTTTCATTAAAGAAATAATTTATCAAATGTGATTCATAAATATTTAGATGCATATACGTAGATGTACATAGCACTCATCTTACAATTAATCAGGGTAGGGCCCAGCCCTCTACATGTACTTCAGGATTTCATATCCTGGTTGGACTGGCAACCTGATCTCACTATCTCATCAACTGGCAAAAGCTTCACAACTCCAGGCCTTTCATTAGTTCCCTCCGTCCCTACAGCCCGATTTGTCAAGCGCATGAGCGGAGATACAGCATGCCGTACTATGTGCGTGAATTTAAACTCGACCGTGTGAGTTGGTCACTGCAGAAAGTCGACATCATGTTTACGCTGAAGCTTACAGTATGTATTATTGGCAAAATCATCCATGTTCTGACCACAAATAATCTTGGGAGTTTTTGTTGAGTGTGTTGTTGAAATCACTGAAAAATCAATAATAAAATAACTTTCAACTGTCTAAAAAGGAAAATATGTACATTAAAAGCAGAACCACATTTGCTGGTCTCTGTACAAAACCTCTTCCAGTGAAGGTTTCTAGCGCAGTCAATTGCCAAGATACTGAAGTTCAGAAAGGAACCTCTTACGTGCGAACAAGAATGGCTAAAACAACCTCAGCAGGGTGGTTCAGTTGTGTGACATTCCTAAAAACTGAGCAGTTCTTAGCAAACACAGACAAGCTACTACATGTACATATTGCTTCCAATCAGCGCATGACTCCATGGAGATTAGCTCTTTCTTCTCTGACAAAAACTACATAGATCTCAACCTGGCTGATTGTGGCCCAAGTGATAAAATTTCAAATATCACTGTAAATATGCAATCAAACCTGTAGCTTCTGAGCAAGACTTTTCCACTGATTGCTGTCACGCTAATTACATGTTCTAGTCCTGCAAGGCGTATGTTTGGTACCACAGGTCCACGAAAAAAATCTGTGATCCAAAACATAAAACAGTGTCAATAATAAAAATATGTCGTCAGCACTGGAATTGACTTCAAAGAAATGCTACGCAAGAAATTGTTGTGAGTAAATATAGAAAGCAAGTAAATTTACAATGTAAACAACAGACTAAACCCAAGAGAAAGGCACAACACCATTTCCACCATAAAACAACATTTTTTAGACCACACAACTCCTCTGATTTCATATTCTATTCTCTCCATTTTCTGTTGGTGTCACATTCCGAGTAGTCAGGAGACAAGCATCAATCACATGACTTACCATCAGTCATTTGACTTAACAGCATTAGTCATGTGACCAGCATAGATCTCTTACCAATCAAAAGATTCTTGAGTCTCTTGTACTCAGGTTCCGATTCAAAGGATTCCCCTGAGAATACCAGACATGGTTTCGTGCCAGAGGTACATTTTGCATTCTGTCAACAGAACCATAGAAAGACAAAGGAAACTGTTCAGAATTTGAGGCAATTATGACTAATTTAATGATTTTGAAGTGTCAACAATTGGACGTAACTTGTAAAATGATTGCCCAAAGAAAACAAAAGAAAAAGAATGGCATATTTTCCAAAATCAAATCCTACAAAACTGTAAAAATAACATTTTTGGAACAAAATAAGATGATTTGAAAGAGATAAATTATTTCAAAAATTAGAAAAGAAGCAGAACTCTCATTGTAAAACAAGAGACAGGAATTAATTCACCAATTCTATCAAACCACTTGAGTTTCTCCTACCTTGATCTCATACATAGATGTGAATTTGTCAATTCCTAGCTCCATCATGTCTAGTACCTGATAGTCAAACATTCTTCCTAAAATATTTAGAGAAAATAGTATTATTTAGAAACTGTGTATGTACAACTCATGCTCTTCTGAGTTTAACATTAGAGACATCCAGCTACTGTTTATTACTTTGCAAAATTCAAAAGAAAGCAATAAATTCTAGTTGGGAACAATAAGGTTATCCAATGTGGTATCTCATAAATATCAAGTGATGCAGCAATTTCTGAAATATGTTGCCATGTTAGTCTTGTTCGGTTTCAATTTGGGAAGTTAGTAAAATCATTCTGATGGTAAAAAGAGAATGAAATATCTCTCAAAGGGTTCCATGTAATGAAAAGTGCATGATTACTCACCAAAAACTAAATTGTGAGGTCTTTTCTTAGAATGACTGCCAAATAGGAAGTGGGAAGAATCGTTCTTCTTAGCAAAATGTTCCTGAAATGATGGAAAATAATTTTGAAGAGAAATACTCTTGATATTGTCTAACAATACGTTTAGCCTATTGGAAATACACAACCAAATCCATCAATTTAAAGAAATGAGCATTTATTTGCAGCTACCAAAAACACATAACCATGATCCATTAAAGCATTCGTGAATTGAATAAACTAATGCACATTTCTCACCAACTGTGACCTGTCTTCAAAAGGCCTCATCATGTTTTTCCTGAATGTACAAAAGAAGACAATATTGATCCGTGATATTTGATCACTTGATAAGTATTAGTTCCATTCCAAAACAAGCAACAGCACAAATTAAATTGTTTGTATGAAGGAGCTATTTATTGAGCAAGTGTTGGACAAGCATTCAGCTGTTTATATCTGATAAAAACAATAGTTCATGTTTACCTTTGCATCATAATTCCATTTGTTTTCTTCAGAGTGTAGAGTTCTTTCAAAGCTCTTGTGACAGTCTCACTTGTGTTCCCACCGCGTATGAATGTACACGTCTTTGTGTTCTCCACAATCTTTGCTTCTCTCTTTTCCAGGGCACGTTTGGCACGCTGGGTTTTTGGTTTCCTGTGAAAAGCAGCAATTATATAACAAACTTTTAATTTAAGTTTAAGAAATGCAAAACTTACGTACACACCTGTTCATGAAACTAACAGCAAGAAAAAATGGCTGGTATAATATAGCAGTGCATTTTTTCTTTACGTTTCTAGGTAAGGAGGGGCAACAAAATAGCCCAGGTTGGACATTGTCTTCATTTACACTTAGACTGACGTCCAGGGTATAAAGTCCTCCTGCCATAGCAAATTTTTCCCACATTCTTACCTGGCGGGGGCAGCTCAAATGTCTTTCACAAGTGCCTTGTATCCCAAATTCCATTAATGCTGTGTTGAAATTACTAAATACGCCCGTGGACAACGTATTTTGCAGGAAATTCAGCGTGACTCCACGCTTTTCGTTGTGAACGATCTGTGTTTGTCTAGTAGGCCTAATATGCATTTAGGCATGCACAAAATGCATAGCCAAGGACCGCCCCCGACTGCATCCACAAATGTGTACAACTACACAATGTATATTGTTCAAGAATCACTATGAAAAGCGTGAAATAATGCTAAATTTCTTGTAAAAAAATTGCTCACAGGCGTATTTAGTTATTTCAACAGAGCATTTATGGAATTCGGGATAAAGGCACTTGTGAACAACATTTCAGTTGCCTCTGTCGCTAAAAATGTGAGAAAAACCATTGAAAAAAATGTCGCTATAGCAGGAGGACTTAATACTATGGAGGTCAGTCACAATGCAATGTAGACTACGTCCACTTCGGTTAACCCAGCAGCTAATGCTCCCATTGGCGTTTAGAAGGTCATTGTATTCTAAAACTGGGGAAAAAAAGGAAAAAACTTCATTATAGAATTGTCCTCCATGGTACAGGCAACCAAAAGGCCAGGCTGTGTGGTTTCAAAGTGAAAGCTGAGCTATGATTGGTCACTGGAATGATAGCAAATTGGACCAATTGGCTTTCATTTGTGGGTGACAGGAAAACAAAAGGAAAAGATAGGAGATGTGTTGTGACTGGTCAAGATGCCATGCAGCTGACAGTGATTGAGAGTACATGTACATGCTGCTGATTTTCTGAAGTGTAGATGGGAAAAATGCTCAGGAGTTTCACCATTTTAATGAGGATATAAGGTGAATAAAACTCCCCATCTGACATCTCACTGCACCAAGAAGGCATGTATGAAATTTGGTTGCACAAACTCTGTGATGGAAGAGTCAGTTGGCACAATCAAACCAGGCAAAATGTGTTTATGGGAGTTTGTAAAACGCTATCTGCAAGGTCTGTATAAAACTTACAGTTCAGGAAGTAGCATTTAATCTGTACAGTGATTTTGATGATTTTGCTAACGATTTTGCATTAAATAAATAATAAAAACAAGTTGATTATTTTCATGTATTTTAATTTAGCGAATTTTGAACATTCATATCAGTATAAACTTGGGCAATAATTTTGCTGGTAAGTTGTACAATTGGGTACACCTATAGAATACTTTTGACTTAGATTTTTTCTCCATTCATTTAGTGTTGTTCATTCTTAAAGAGAACTCCTTTGACATCGTGGACTCAATTTGGACTTTTTTCGCCTTCTTCCTGGAGTCACTACAATATGATGCAACATTGAAGTGAGGGATTATGGTGATTCTTGTTCTTGCATGGCCCTGCATTCTATAGTTACTCCGCAACAACAATGTGTGCAGGGGCCAGGGTATACAGGGCAGTTAATGGAGCGCTTAGGCCTATCATTAGCGGGATTGTATACTTGGGGACCCCCCAATTTTTTGACATTTTAATCTTGTAAAACTGGTAAGTCCCCCAAAAAACCAAAGGCAACACTCTCTTTCTTGTGCCGACCCTATTTTTTGGAAATTTCAAATTGTAAATTGTAAAAAAATGTGCCTTTCTTGCTGGTAAACTAACCATGCAAATTTGAATCCACGATGTGTCATGTGTTAAAACACTCACAGTTTCCCCTCAAAATTTCCCTCAAAACCCTACCCTTTTTTGGCAACATTAATGCTACAGTAATGTTATTGAGCTTCAAAAGTTAAGATGTAGCTCTCCCTCTAAATAGGAACAGGGTCCCCAAATTTACAATCCCCATCGTTAGCACGGTTGGTGAAACGTTAGGCCTACATTGTACATGTCAAGACATATCTAATATACGGACTGAGCGATAAGATACTACATGTACCAATGGGCTCTCCCAAAACTTGGGCAGCCGATTAGATGTCTTGACATGGAACAGCCGTCGAGGCGATAAGGGGTCAAGTGAAGTAATGCTCAATGACCTTATTTTAAAGATTGTGACCGTGAGAGTGAGCCCGTTAGATTGAATGGATAAATGCAAAAAGACTGAAAAATACCTACAAAACGTGAGTGAAATCATTCAATAAATGGTTTTTAGAAAACGGAAACGTCAAGAATCATGTCCGTGTGCAAAAGAAATTGCGCCCACGATGATAAGTGGATGCGCCGAAAATGTTCAATACGCCGACACAAAATTGCGCCAACGGATGTGTGGCCAAGTATGGATTGGGCGTGAGAGTCCTTGCCACACTAGTGGTGCCATGGGTACAGCGGTGTCAACTGCAACTGGCAATTTTCAACTTCGAATACAAATGTCACGTTTCAGATAGTTCCATAAAATTGTATACAACTATTTGTTCTGCATGTACTTTGAAAATACGTTCATTTCAATATTTGGACTTACACAATCCGTTGCATTTTCCTCGATATGTTCTTCGCACAATTTTGGGCAAATTACACGTGCAAGTAGCATGCAACATCATACCAATGGATATCTGAGCTCCAGTTGCTTCGCATGGCTTGCGTGGTGAACCATCGGGGGCACCAGACTTTAACTTGCATTTTTATTTTAACGTGAGCCAATAGAGGTCGCTCTTCCCTTTGCTCGATCATACATCGAATGGACGGCACTCAAAGCTGGGCCGATTGTTCAGTTACTATTGAGTTACAGAGTAGCTTTTGTTTCTGGAAAATAAATGATTATGACGCCCTCAAATATGCACACCTATATTTCACTTAGTCCAAGTATCTTAGTTCCCCTAGAGCTCGTCCGAATGAAGGGTGGATCGAAATCTTTAATTGGGGGAGGGTGAAACTGTAAAATGGACGTTTTGAAGTAACCAAGTTCGTGACCTTTCTCGGGGAGAGGTTACATTTTCGGGGATATATACATGCTCTTGGAAAGAAGGGAAACAAAATATGCACAGAATATCGCCTTCCTCTCATTATTTTTCACCAAAGATTGTTGGTTTCAGGGGAGGGAAATGGTGCCTAGATATATGCCCCCTCCCCCTTATCCGCCCTTGACTGGAGTGGGCCTGTCCTTCCCGCATGGGAAGGTCCAACCGTCTAGTAAGCCTAAGTCAATTTTCTCAACCTTCTCATAGTCCTTTCAAGTTTTGAACTCCATGCTTGTTCTCGCCTCCGGGAATAAAACTCACCTCTGGCTCCTGGAAGCTAATTTCAATGCGGCCGTTCTTTCTGATCTGGGATTGCCGATAGTAGACCTACTGGGACAGTTTTGCTGAGTGGGTTGTGACAAGATTGAACACTAATCAGCACGTGCGCGATTTGTACACCAGCAGTCGGAAATAATGAAGCGCTGCTACTCCCAGTGGCAGTCATTTTGTATAATAATACTTCACTTCAATGTCCACCTCATTAAAAGTCTGGAAGCAGCACAAGAGTCTAAAAGCCTACGCATGGGAGCAACTGCATAATGCGAGTAATTGCCAAATAATCATGGCAAATGACGCAAAGATAGACCCACGATGGGAGTCAATCATGGCAAATAAATGCCACTCTTAACACCCACTAGTAGTGTCTGATACAAAACAGCATTTGTTCTTAGGTACACTTATTCCCATGGAAACCATTTGTCAAAGTTAATGAGCAAATCTTTATAATGAAAAGGTCACTGTACACGCTTGCTGACCAACTACTATATCTATGATACATTCAAGTTGGTGACATACCAAGACCTCCGATTTCTTGTGTGTTCTGTATGCAGGAATTGAAGTTACGATTTGACGCATCACTTGTTTGTTTGGCATCTTGAATTAAAATGGATGGCTTAAAGGTGTAGAGGGCCCCTTTTGATTTACATTATACAAGAGTAGTAAAGACCTTTACCCAAAGTTGCACAGTAAGGCGACAAAGCGATTCACTTGAGGTCTTGTGTTGGCTATCTGAAGTTTTGTGTGGTACACAACTGTATGTGGTATTATTATGCGAAGTGGTTAGATGTGTAAACATGCAAAACATGTATTGGCCCAACAAACTGATGTTAGATACCTTCTGCAGTGAGCGTTTTATTGTACAGAGAAAAACAGCTGGATTTTATAGGTATAATTTTTGCAAAGCATAGTAAATATTTATGTACTTTAGCTAATCACAAGATGCAAACAAAATGAGGCCTATACACTTTATAATAATGATGGAATTTTCGTCACTCTAAGTTTGAAACAATTGCAAGAGAAATAGAAACAAATTGCAAACAAAACTAGACAGGCAATCGCAGTCACTATAATCCATATTCCTTAAAACATACGTTCCAAAAATGTAGGCCAAAACACTTTACCTATAACAGAGCGGAGCGTGAAAGAAAGCTTAGTTGATGGGCCAATGAAATTACTAAATAAAGTGAAACGCGAGTTGCATGACGTCTTATAATCTCTTTCTGTGATTTGTACATTTAATTCATGTATCCTTATTATCTACAAACACATAACACAAACAGCCATATTACCTGTTCTATTTCCTATATTTATTATCTGAAATGTAAAACATTTATAAGGGAATGTGCTTGGCTGGTCTTAAAAGTGCATGCGTTTAAGACTGGCTCTGGAGAATGGCGCGACTATATCGCCTGTGCTTACGGTTCGGGCATTAGTCAGCGTTCGTTCCGCTGACCAAGGTCTTAAACGTTAGTTTAAGTATTTATGATCTTTATGTTCCATACACGACCCCGTTCGTTTTGTCGCACAAGAGCCACAACATCACGAAGATTTATTGCGGAGGTGTGACGCTAGTTAGTTCTATTGTTTGTTGTACCAAATGACATCCACAAAAGACACTGCGCTAAAACTACATATTTATATTTACTTTTGGTCTTTTCTATCAGAGTTGCTAACCTTTACGAAAACAACAAGACATCAGGTTTCGACTAAATGGATAAAAACCACAACTGTTGTTTAGACTACATTATGACATATAGCCTCCAATAGAACTGCCATTTAAGAGTGTTTTAACCCCTGGCATATTTTCTTCTCAGAATCATTTCATCGAGGAAATTACATAGCTACGTCTCGTGAATTGCTGGCATTTTTCTAAGTCCATTATCTTGAGCAGGCCTACACTAACAATCGTTGACAAGTTAATACATATACACCTACATCGTACGACAAACGAGTTAAGGACCAACAAAACGACTTATCGGTGAACATATCGATTTGATAAATACCATAATGCACTTCATAAGTTTTGTTTAATTTTCAAATTAACATTTTCGACATTTTGTGACCCTTCTATTTGATTTCTGAGAAACACACTGAAGCCTGTGATAGCTTATTGTCATTATGCAGATAAATTGTTTCAGTACCTTTTTGTTGTAATTTTTGGGCATGTCGACCATTCCCATCATAAGCATTGCGAATGTTCCCTTTGAAGGTCAGGAAAATTTTCCCGAGAGCTTTAAGCTATGATTTTTTTCATGATTCATTTTGTGGTAACGACTTTTCAAGGTCTTGGTAGCTCCTCATGTCCTCTGCGACCACAAAAGAGGTACCGAACGCCTCGCTGGAACTGCTTGTACTTGATGCCATAAATGATTGGGTTGACACAGCAGTTAGCGGCCACCATGAACGTACTGAACACATTCAAGGGACCTGAGAAGTCCAACTTAAGCCAGCCCAGATTGAACATGAAGAAGGTTATTTGGCTTGGGCTCCAGCAAACCAAGAAAACGACGAAAACAATGACGAGTGTCTTGAAAGTGTTACGGCGGGCCCTAAGGAGAGAATCTTGCTGGTCGTTGACGGCGTAGTTGATGGGGCGCACTGCTTTATCTTCGAAAGTATTGGATGCACCGGAGGTGCACAAATTGATGGAGTCTGAGGGGCACGTCTTTTTCATTCCAGTGGTGCCTGTGGACGTCGATGCAGCGGATGGGCCGGGCTTAGTGAGAAAAGCTGGTGGCGGAGCAACCCGCAATGCACACCGCTTCAAAGAGATGGTGATGTGGATGTAAAAGAACAACATCATTCCAGCTGGGATGAAGTACTGCAGACAGATTAGGAGAGGACCCATGACGTGGGAAACAGAAACGCGCTGGAACTGACAGACACCGTCAACAATGTTGTAGATGATAAAGGAGTAGGACTTGAGGATCAGCCCAATTACCCAACTTGAAATCATTATTGCGGTGGTGGGGCGTCGGCTGAAGAAGCTATAGTAACGGAGCGGAAAGACGATGGCTACGTATCGCTCTACGGTCAACCCCAGTAAGTTGAACGTTGAAGTGACGAAGAGAAGCCACAGTAACGCATCACCAATCCAAACACGGCAAAGTAGCTGACCGGCTGTCGTCTCAGGCACAGGAGCAGGGTTGGGAATGTTGCTCTGGAGAAATAGCAACAGTGATCCGAAAAAATCGATGACAGCCTGATGGAAAATGAATGCATTGGTCTTAGAGTGCATGAACTCTACCTTAGCTATGACTACGATGACCAGGCCATTGTTGAACACACCCAGCAGGCCTATGATGGTTTTGATGATGCGGAGAAACAACAGTGCTTCGGCCATGATGAGAAGCTAAAGTTTCGGGAGCAAACCTTTCAGTCTTTATAACTTTTCTTTTGAAAGACGCACACTATCAATGTTTCCCGATTTGCCAGTTCAAACGTAACTCACTCACCTACGAATCGCGAAGCTGAGTTTGCAGCAATTAATGAAGCAACATTCGCCGTATGCGACGCACAACATATCAGAGAGTATTGTTGCCAGTCACGTGACTCAAAAACATTAACGTGATTGGCAAATGGTGAAACCCATGGAGCCAATTAGGCCTACGCTTGATGTTTTCACAATACCATGTAATGCACGCCTAAGTCACTAATGACATTGAATTGCATTTCCCGCTGAACGCTCACCTGCTTACGAATTATTGGTTTGTGTTTGTTTTGTTCGATGAATTTGTGGAGGACAGAACGTAAACAGCATTTTGGAATGTGCAATGCATTGTGTTACAGATTTTTTTGAGAAAATCGGGTTTTAAGTTGGTCATTTTGTTTAACTGTTTTGATAGTTAAAAAAATGACGACAGTGTTTTCTTATCCATTCCACTCAAGAGCCAAGAGTACAGGTCACTGTTTTTAGGAAAAAGCCTTCACACGGCTTTCAACATATTATTACTGCTTCCACTATCATTCACTCAAGGCCTTATACACGAATTTATGTAATGTGCATTTCACCTGCTTCGTAAGACCATGTTACTGGTGAAACTACAGAACAAGTCGCAAGTAATTCGGCTGTATTAGTTTTCTTACGTTTTAAGCCAAATAACTTCAATATATTTTTTTCTCTCGCCTGTTTTATAACTCTAAAGATTTGAATAGGCTTTTCCCGAGGCAGGTGGTTTGGATGGATAGATGGATGGATTTATTTTCCATATGTCAAAACTTAATGCAGTGGTACTGTAACATTTAAATAAGGACAGTGACACACAAGGGGGGTGCAAGGTTACCAGGAAGAAGCCTAGTAAGCCCATAGAGACGGGTCCCGTTTGTAAAACGTAAATAATTGGACTTACGATAAGTTTGGAGAAACAATAAATTAGTAAAATAATTTTGGAAAAATTAAATAGAATTTAACAAAGCAGAAAAATTAAGAGAAAAGAAAATGTACATGAAAACAAACAAACAAACAAACAAACAAACAAACCGCCTAAGCGAGCAAGTAGGCCTAAGCAACCGAGTGCATGAGCAAGCAAAAGTGCCAGGTTTTAAATTAGAACATACAGGTCTAGGAGTTTCAAAACGCAAAACAGGGTTGTCTGATATAAAAATTCACCGTTTATTCCAGATATACTATAATAAGGCCAAATTACAGAAAGATAACAACAATCCATCATGTGTTCCATGTTACAAAAAAAACTTTAAATTTATTTTTACCAACACGCTGTCGCTTCAAGTTCGAACAAATCAAATATCTGGCTTAATATCGATCTATACAGTGCTTTAACTCTGTAACAATTAAGCAACAAAACAAAAACCAAAGTTATGATTTTTCATATTTTGGTATTTTCCCCTGCAAGTGGAGGATGCTCTTTAGGCCTAATATTGCTCAATAGAATTTTTCTTACACTCAAAGAAAAAAGCAAAGAAACACTGCAGCAACCGTTATTCTGAGCGGATAACTTGAAATTAAAGCCTCGGCATTTCGAAGTTAATGAAAGGCCACAAGTTTTCGTCCTAGCGCCAAAGCCTTGGGCACTGGTTTGGAGCATGTCGCTGATTTGTCCTCATGCTAGGACGCGTCAAGGCATAATTATCTATGATCATGGAGTTATTAAACACATTGCCCCAATCACAGGCTGACATGCCAGAAACTTGTTCCCGAGCACCTGCCACTGCTCGTGACTTGAAAACTGAAAAGAGAAGAATGAACTGAGATACACTGATGAGTATGATTGATTCTGCACATTCACATTGATGGTGCATTCATTATGGGAGCAGATGGACTCGATATTGACGTCATTAAGCGGCGGGAAATTTCCTGAAAAGTACTCTGACTTTTAACTCAGTACAATGCCCTGCACATCAGTTGGAAACCTGCCACCTTTTGACGATACAATAATAGCAAACTGGTACACAACTACACTGTGCTATCCCACTACAAGCGTAGTTCACCAGCGATTTTGATCAACACCATTTGTATTTTTTTGGTTCAAAAGTGACTGATTTCGGTGTTTGTTATTCACTTCGGCTATCCTTTGATTTATTTGTTCGGTGTTTTGAGTGGACTTTTGGGAGGAAAATTAAGAAAACTGTTGTTCATTTCAACGGTCAGAATTGTTAGTAAAATCCCATAGTCCACAGGACGTTGCAGACAGCGAGCGTGTGTTGACAACGTAGGCGAGGCCTGCGGAACAAATTTATGAAAGATATGAACAGGCACTTTTTTCCCTAAAACGTGTTGATTTTTCACGGCCAAGAGTTGTGATTGGCAAATTTACATTGAACCTCTTTCTTCAACAATAAAGCGCTGTACCCTGGAATTCTTGAATGTGATTCGTGCGCACGCCCCAATGTCACGGACGCCGTGGGGGGGGGGGGGAGTCTACACTTCGTCACATCAGTGCACATGTATCTACTCATTCTCAATCATTTGAGAAAAATTGTGATTACTACTGACTACCCTAGATAATGGGCAAGATGGAATAACTGCAGAAAAAGTAGGAGTTGAAACGTCTGGAAATTGGAATTTTTTATTACAAGAAACTGGACCCGATAGGCTAAGATTGGAGAGGGCCATTGTACCGTACGAGGATCGAATCGGAAGTTTGGACCCCTCCATTATCTTGAGGGGTTATCGTGAGCTAGTGACAGTTTTCACCGTCCGTAAGAAAACTCGTTTTTTCATTCAGAGGATACAACTTAAAACCTACACAAATTCTTTTTAAGCCTATGAGTTACATTTAGGCACCGCTAATGCCAGTTTGTGTACATGAAAATGGTCCAAGAAACTGGTGTTTTAAATGCTGTGAACAGTTGTGATTGCGAAAACGACAGCGCATTATCGTCAAGCTAATTTTTTTCGCAAAAAACAAAACAAAACAAAAACAAACAGCGTTCCGGTTGGGAAGATTTCAAAGACTGACTGACGCTTTTATTAACTTACTCTCAAGTGAGATAGTTACGATTATTCGCCGATCCACAGTCCAGATCTTAAGGTTTATGAATTTTCATTCACATTTCTTAACTACGCTACACCTCGTGAATATGCATTTTACACGATACGCATGCGCATGTCGTCCTTTTCAATTCAGTGCATTCAAGTTTTCTCCATTTTAAACACATAATTAAGTAAGTAGCTTCCTAAATTAAGGTTGACATTTTTTACCTATAATTTTGAGTGCCATGTTGGCCAGCTTCATTGGCAGTATTTTGAACATTTATTTCTTAACGTATGACAAAAATAGGTGTTGCGCCTTGTGTTTATGTCACTCATTGTTTTTGTTGAAAACGTCGACGTTGTTTGTCAAGCCTAGGCCAAGGGTCTCAAGTAAGTTCCTTCCTACGTGATGCTTGTTCTTATAATTTATATATTTTTAAGTCGCTGCAGGCAGAGCAATAATCATTGCAATGAGGTATTACCGTTTCTCTTTTATGATTTACCTCTCAAGTGCAGTTTTCATTTCAAAGACGCCGAACGCCGTGCCAGCTAGCCGGTTTTTAAATAGCATTACTCAGCCCAGGATTTGCACAAGCTTGATTTGCGATATAATACAACCCTCCAGGTTATCTTTTAATGTTGCAAAAAACAAAAGCGAGTGAGTCTCCTTTGGCCCCTTGAATTTCTCATTTACTACAAGAATCACGGATGTCTTTGTCAAAGTGTATGGACATGCATCGGCTCCAAACTACTTACTGGAGTGAGTTAATGTAGGCCCACTATGTCTATACAGGGAAAACATTTTTGCCAAGTGTTTTGTGCAGTCTTTGAATACAGGATAAAAACATAATTAAACATGTAATGTTAGTTACGGATTTTTGATCATTCTGTTGACGAAACAACGGGGAAAACACTAAAAAGCAGACGAGTACCCGTCTAGCCTAGATTGAAGAAAAAGATAGGAATAGACCTATACTCTGAAGGGCAGTCTCTGTAAAATATAGAATGTCTGTAAGTCTTGCAAGTCACATGGAAAAAGTCCTTATAAAAAGGTGTTATTGGACGACTACATATTGTTCAATATGCAAACGAAGTATGCGCTGTACATGTAGGCTTGGCCTTGGACTCGTAATACTGTTAATGTGACGTCACTAGTGGCGGGAGATTTCTGAAAAGTCCTACAATGACGTAATGGCTGCATCTGAATCTGTTTAGAGCTAGGTCTCGGTCTTCTTTCCATTGGAAATACGTTGAGACGCTCAGAAAACAGACCAAGCCGCAGCTCTGGAAGCCCCTTTTAGACAAGGGCTCAGTTTGGCCCTGCGTGTCAATCAGGAAACCCGCCACGTTTTGCCATACAAACAAAATGGTACTACGACACTGTTCTGTCAAATTACTGGTAGCAGTGTGTGATTACCAGCGATGCATGATGCGTTTTATGTGACAAGCATGCAACGCGTCCAGTATCAGATACATTGGTAGGAAATACATGTGCTGAATCGAAGTGTCATTGTTCCTTCATTTTTAAGATTCAGGTAAATAGCTTAATCTAAGTTTCCTTTTTTTTAATCAATGAATTTTAGCTACTCTGTTAATGTAATTTGTATCATTGTATCCTAAATTTATGATGAGAAAATACCTGCAACGTTACGATCTGTTGAGCACAAACATGGCAAATGTATGTAAGCCCTTTGCCATGGCCCAGGGCTTTGTTAATAGAAGCCAAGGTTGGCCATGCCTGGTCTGTTCCTTCCTCCATGGTTAGGTTAGTAAATGGCAAAGTCCACCGCATGAAATGGTGATCTTTCATGTTTTTGTGAATTGTTCATTTCTTTAAGTTACTGTATATGCATGATAGGCCTAGATCTGCAGATAAGGCCTATCACCATGGACATGGTCCCCAGCATGACCAGATCACTTATAATATGACTTACATGAGCTAATTCAGTATCGGTGACTATTTTGCAATTTTTTAAACACTAATTTATGAAACATTACCTCCATCCTCCTACCTACAAATCATTTTAGGTGTATTTGGAAGTTGAGCCTACATGTATTCGGATTCCACTTGACACCCTGTGCACAAACCCAACATGCCCAATGAGACTATTCCGAAAGTTTTCCCTCCGAAGTTGAAGTTTTCTTGACATTTTTGCTTTCTGATTGCCAGTAGGTCACTTTAGGAATAATTTATCGGCATCCTTGTATGGAACTCTTCCCCATGAAAGTGGTGCACGAGTACAGAATATTTTCTCGGCCTAGGTCTAATTCAAGTAGGCTACATAAAACAGGCCTAGGCCTACATCATCATGGCACACAGCCTACATTAACATTGTAAATGTTCATTGGCAATTATGTTGATCTGAGTAACTAGCATGAAGGACTGACTCTATGAATTGCCTATTTTAACATATGGACATGGTTGTTGGACATGGTTGCTAACAATGTACAAATGGTAAAATAGGTGATTTGTAGAGTCGTAGTGACTCGGCCTACATTAATGCTTACCCCCAGGACTCTGGGGTTCATGATTTGCCACATTCCCACAAACGTACCTGTATGAGCACAGTGGACGACGAATCCCACAGTTCTGGGGATAATTGAAGGCCTTGTGAGTTTGGTGTGGAATAACTTCCAACATGAAAAAGGGGCACTCCCACCTCCCTCCTGTGAAACGTTGAAAATTTCACAACCTGTGATTCTCTTTAGTTCATTAGTTTGGTATTGCCTTGCAGCATCCAATCAAACATGGCTGAGGCAAACGGAGATCAGATCCCTGAAGAGCAGCAGATGGATGAGGAGGTTCAAGGTGAGACTCAGGCTACAGATGAACCCATGGAGACAGAGACCCATGTCAGAACGGACAACTTTGACAAGTATCTTGGCATGGGCTTCTCGGAGAAAGTAGCAGAAAAGCTGGACCAAATAGTCACCATGGTCACAGACCTCACAAGCCGTAAGTTGTGTGTCTCAGTTTGTTATTCTTAAAAAAGATGGACATGTATTATCAAAATTAGTTTGAATTTCAGTAGTTAGGAAAGACAGTGATAATCTATTACTCCTATTACTGAGAATTTGAATTTGCTTGTTTAGAGAGTGAAGTACAAGAGGAGTTGTTAGATGACCGAGCTCTGGAAGCTCTGAAAGGACTTGATGACGAGAGTTCCATCGCAGTCCTCAAGCAGTTCAGTACCAGTGACCTCACACATGTCAACAACAAGAGCGCATTCATCTGTGGTGTCATCAAGACATTTAGACAGAAGAGCCAAAGACCGGGTGGTGCACCAGCGCCTGATGAGCACAAAGGACCTGACGAAGCTAAGATAAAGGTAGTCAATGTGACTTTGTCTTCATTAACTGTATGTTACATGTGTAAAGGCTAAAACGAAGAACTCTGCTTGCGGTTCCCGAACTGACCCTATTTTTACTGCAGGACCCCAATTTTTTTTCAGCAAGTTGTAAGAAAAAACCTGTTTTCTTTTGTGCCTTGAAGAAATGTTTCTCAGTAACCTTTCTACCTCAGAAATGCATGTATTTATTTTTGTGTGTACTTGCATTTGCTATTTTTAAGGAGAAACTTATGTTTTTACAAGTTCCCTTCCTGTTTTGCTATTGTGTTGAAAACGTGTAATGATCAAGAAAACAATGATGCTCTGATGTTACTGAATCTGTTTTGAGGTTGTACTGTAAGTACTTGAAACAAGTATGTTTCCACAGAATTTGTGCCACGACACAAGGTTCATTGCCCTCCCTACAAATGTATCACACACGCTTACCATGTGATACATGTATGTGGACATTGTTGGCCAGTTTCATGTCGTGACAAGCATTGTGCATAGTGGTGTGTGTGACCTTAACTAACCTTAGCCCACTAGGGCCTTTTTACTATCCTCAATCCTCTAAAACCGCCCGAAGGATTTTGGAGGATCAAGGTGGGTTAAGGTGAATGCTCCATTATTTTTTAAGAATTATCAACTGAATTTTTTTACATTAGCCCTAACCCCCCAAGGGTTGCTGGCCCTACCTTCCCCATTCACACAAAGTTAAAC